CTACCTAAACCTAAATTTATAAAACCGGTATTCCGCAACCGGTTTTGGGGTAAATGACCGAAACCGGTTCAGAATTTAAACAGGTTTCCGAGCCCTGATGGCAACTGTTCCATAGCCCTCTCAGAAATGAGACGATATGACGGCATCACTTTGAAATTAGGAGAAATATTTGAGCGATTTCATAATGGGAAAGTGAATTAATTAGGAAAATGTAAGGGTTAATGTTTCTTTCTGTAATATTAGTCATTTGTATCGTAATAATGTTCTTGAGAACAAGTTTCTGTCAAGGCGGCCAGCCTCAACTGAGACTAGCCAACGGTGCAGGACAGAATTACAGTGACCAAGTGTATGCGCAAACATAAGTGCACACTCGTTTCACTCGCATGGTCCGGTGGGACGGAAATCGATATGATCAAAATAGGGTGACAAACGAGCACACAGTCCAGTAAGTGGTTGCTGTGACCCCTAGACATCTACATTTATCCTCAATAAAGAATCAAAATGCAGATGCATCGTCACCCGTGAGGGCTAAGATGGAATGCCTCTTTTCCAGTAAAATGGTCTCCGGTTCTCTACACTCACCATACGAAACATAGCAGTCTCAAGCAGCCATTTTACGCCGGTATTCTGTGAGAGTGTGGTGCTTCCCCGGTCGAGCCGACCCATTCGTGCTACAACTATACTACTAATATAGCTGCAACATGGCTCTAAAAACTGAGAATTTCTTGATGGAAAAGCTCAATAACTGATATCGTTTTCGCTCGACCCGGGATTCGAACCTGGGACCTCGTGACCGCTAAACTATATGTATATTAATATATTAATTAGATCAAAAATGAAAGAACCACACTACGGAAATTCCTACAAGTAGAAAAATTAAAATAAGAGTTAAAAATGAGGAAAACATTAAAGAGCAAACCACGAAAGCATTTCTTTGTGTTCAAATAAAACTCTAGGAACTTATAAACTTTAAAAATTACATTAAAAAATTCAACTTTACAATTCAATGACATTGTGTAACAAAAAACTTTACTTCAGTCCCAACTAGCGACATCTGGTGAACAGAAGATTATTAGCCCTTATTGGCCAAAATAAAAATAAACAATCTCAAATTCTTATATTCTTATAATCTTCCCTACACCTTATGTACAAGTAATATATATGTAGAATAGTAGACTGTTTAGGGGTGTGCTAGGTGATGTAGAATATAAATTTAAATACGTCCTTGTAAAAAAAATTGTATAAATTACGTATAAGATTTAAGAAGAAAATTTCACGATACATTACCGAATTACTTCAGACACAAAGGAAATTGTGAGGGCACCCTTCGTCCACATGAATATCTTTGCAAATACAACAAAAGCTTTATAAGTATTTTAGCAGTCGCTAAAGTACTTTCATATGAAAAAAGGGTGTTATATATTTTATAAAGTGACAGGAAACTGTTGTATATTTTTACGACAAAGAGAATGCTTACTTTGATATGTAAATCTTCAGCAAAATTGATACCATCTTTGGCAAAAAGCTGCTAAAATTCTGTATGAATTCACTAGCAGGTTACGAAGAAGACCTTTGACATAATGTTGCAAAGGTTTAGTTTGCTTAAAATATTCATAAAGGAATGCCATTTTTCTTTAAGTGAGTTTAACATACAAGTTTTGTGTAAATAAAGTAACTCATAAAATTACTTTATATTTCATCGAGTATAATATACAAAAACTAAATTATGTTTAAAAAGGTTTTAGATATTGTTAGGAAAACGCTGTTGCCCATCTCCTGATTTGTTTCCCCCTTTCGCCTCTTACGTCACCCACGTACGGGGTAGCGGATATCACCGTCAGTACACGGTACCTATGCAAGGAGAGATGGAAACCCTCCTTTTGGTTTTCATATCACTTTCGGCTTAACAGGCTGCCCTGATTATAGAACCGCAACAAAATTCCTTGTAATATCAGCTATATTGTTGTACTCTGAAATCATAAGCATTAACAGATGCTTAAGCGACTTTAGGCCAAGGTTATTGTCAAAAATATGTAATGAAATGCAACTTAACTATGTAGTAATCGCTGGTACCAGTTTGACTGACTGCCACTATACCAAATAGTGGTCGTAAATGCGGGTGCTGATCATAAGGCCACGCGTTCGAGGGGCCGGACCAAAAAGAAATATATGAATTCACTTCCGTGTCACGGCATACATGTAAAGCCGTTAATCTTGTGCCTGATCTCTCTCTTGTAGTGTCAGAAAGCTGTCCCATCGAACTATGAGATTACGGAGTAAAGAGTGCACTTTGCTTGCACTTACTCTACGACACAATAACTATGTCCTGCGTAGACGGCCTGCCTCCGTTGAGACGGGCAGGCGTGACTGATTTTCGGTCTGAAGGACATTATTATTATTATTTCACTATATATCCAGCGTAAAATTACCTCATTATCATCGAAATGATTTCCAAAACCAACAAGCATAGTTCACTCAAAACCAAGGTAAGCTAGTTGCTAACAGTGCAAGCATGATGTGAACCTAGTCTATACTGACCGATATTAGCGACTGCAGTTAGAGTTGTCAACAAGCTGGAGATCGGCCAAATGTTCTGGCCATGGCATATTCAGCACACCTGTTCATGTTTAACAATTTGACACAAAGGCCTAAAAATGTCAATGTAATACAAAACACGTAAAGTTAAAAAGTATTTTTTTTTGTTTGATTCAGTAGCGCCAATAGCATTCGATGTAAGATTTCGAAACGTTGAAGTAGCATTTACAATTTTTTTCAGTTTTCAGTAAAAAATAAATGAGTTTACATGTAGTAGTAATATGGCACTTGCTTAAAGTGCATTTTGGCAAACCTCATTTTATTGATTACTAAATTATAAATAACTAAACATAGCCCATGTACTTTACTTTAATGACAATAATTATTATTATAATAATCATCATCATAATTACATCACCAAGAACGCTTCTGAGCCACATGCATCCTTCGAATTCTGCAGGGTATACCAGCACGTGACTTTATCTAGTGAGGATTGCCATACACTTCGCTCACCAGTACGAGGCTGCCACCTGAAAACCTTTATTTCCCATCACTTGTTGATTTTCCTAACTATATTTTCTGTGCATTCTTCTTTTTTCTTTTTTTTATAGGATAGGATGACAAACGAGCACACAGTCCACCTGATGGTAAGTGATTGCTGTGACCCATAGACATCTACATCTGTCCTCAATAAAGAATCAAAATGCAGATGCGTCATGACCCGTGAGTACTAAGATAGAATGCCTCTTTTCCAGTAAAATGGTATCCGGTTCTCTACACTCACCATACGAAACACAGCAGTGTCACGCTGCCATCTTACGTTGGTATTCTGTGAGAGCGTGGTCCTTCCCCGGTCGAGCCAACCCATTCGTGCTATAACTATACTACTAATACAGCTGCAGCATGGCTTTACCACGTGTATTCTTCTGCTGTGGATATTCCCATTACGAATATCCCATATCCATAGCGACCTTGAGCTTCCTAATACCGATAGCAGTGAACGATCGATCGATCGATACGATCATTACTCGCAGTCGGAACTCGTTGCTCATTTTTTTTCCTTTTTTATACGTGACGAGATGTGTCTGAAGAGAAGATGTGAATGACCATAGCGTCAGCAAATCAAAAGTGAATGATATACTCGCTGTTGTATTCTGATACCATATCCTTATATGTCCAGCAGCTTTAAACCGTCTCCAATGCAGCGGTGAAGAGATTTGGAGATATAACCTCACCTCTTGCAGTTGGATAGATTTTGTATTCCGATTCTGTATTACTCATTTATTTATGATTACGAAAATTGATTAAAAGAAAGAAATATTATAGAACCTTTCTTGCCTTTTATCAAATTTCGTTCAATGTTTACCTTTTTTAATCTTTACTCATAATTCTGTCAGCGATATTCCTTAAGCACTCTTGAAACATTTCTTGGGGAAAATGTCAAATAAAATTTAAAATAAAAAAACAAATATAAAATTTTTAATAACATTTATTAAATTTATTATTAATGAAATTAAATTTAATAATTTAATTAATTATTCTATACTAACAAATAAAATTAAAATGTCTGTTTGTAATATCAAAATAACAGTTTTTTTTTACTAAATACATATGAAAGTATATCGGTACTTATAACAAAAGAACAATTTTAAAATTTTTGCCTGTCGGTCTGTCTGTTTGTTCCGGCTAATCTCCGGAACTGCTGGACTGATTCTGACGGGAATTTCACTGGCAGCTGAAGTTATAAGGAGTAACTTAGTCTACTTTTATTTTAGAAAAACAATTAAGGTTTCACGCAAAAAAATAATTAAGAGCAATGAAATCCAATTGTAATAAATTCCACGCGGTCGATGTCACGGGAAACACCTAGTTTTTATAAAAAGAGTTATTAATTGACTTCAGACACTATGATCTCCCATCTCACGTCTGTGTTGAGATAACCGCATTAATTAATTATGCTAAATTTCATCATAAAAGTGAAATAGTTTCTCAGGGAAAACCTCTATCTGTCACAGACTCTCATCGAGGTGATATATGATACGTGTTTTGTTTTAATAGATTTGGCACGGATCACCAAAAATATACCAACGTCTGTCTCCGAGAAATCCTTCCAATAGATATTATCAATTTCTCCAAATTGAGCTCCGTGATTTAAAAATCACCCAAGAACAAAGAAAGAGATTTGTGCTCAGTAATGCTAAATATGTAGCTTCTTACTTTTTTTGATTTTTTGCATAAACCCAATCCTTTATAAATAGTAATTACTCCAACGTAACTATATAAAACGTATATTTTAATAATATTATAAAATTTATAAAATTAAAAATATTGGAGATGAACTTTTCATTCACATACATGAATTTCGTTTAGTCGTCTATTAATATACAATCCAATTTAATTGGCTAAGCCTTTTATGTCATAAGTACATACGTCAAAAAGTTGGAACGGTTCCGGGAGCTGCAATCAGTAGATGCGCTGGCATCGATCGGCATGCATAGTGCATCTAGTACACGAGAAGTACTGCTTACAAAAAGTTGGACAAATAGTAAAACACTACGAGCAAACTTTGATTCAAATGCCTGAGAGCACTTTGAATAATATATCCGTATTAGTTTCATTTATCAATATACACAATATTCAAAATGGTTTTGCATCATGGTGTGTTCTCTTTTCTTAACATCCTAATCATCCTATACTAATTCTTCTAATTCCAAAATTATCTGCTATTTTCAATTACAGAAACAATATTTTCATATTTACTACTTACTTTCGTTATGGGAACTGGAGAATGTGCTTTTAGAAATTTCGAATCTTTGAAAACAACAATTTCAATAGGTAAGTACTTTTAGTTAATGTATAACAAATTTAATACTAAGCTGTAATTTTTTATAATCCGACAAGATAAGTTGTTTCTATGGCGTAGGTACGAATTTTGCCATAGTTTCTACGCTAGGCAGACAGGTAGGCAACCGCAGTTAGATACTGCTGCCCATCTGTTTCAGTTTCACTCTGTCGCCTCTTTCGACACTCGCGGGATGATATGAAGTAGTGGATATCTTACACCGCCACTACACGTTTAATCATATCATCATTATTACATTAAAAAAGCCAGTCTCAATAATTAAAGTTGGGAGCAATATTCTATAAAACAAAGAATAAATTGTATCGACAAATTACAGATTACATTTTTTATGATTTTTAACAAGAGACTGTCAAAAACCGTTTTATCGTGGCTCAAAAGAGAAACATTGTTTCAGGTGCGATATTTCCACCGAACACAGTAGCAGAAGTGGCCTTCGCATCAGCGCTTACGCGAGCATCAATGGAAAGCGAACATTACCGTTACACTATGAAAGTAGTTTATTCCCCCTATGGAGACAGTTTCGCAGCATCTCGAGCTGGTATAATTATTTTTTCTTGTATAAATAATACAATACAATGTGAATAGCATAATAACATTATTTTGCAATGAAGCTTGATAGTTTTCAAAAAAGAATAGTTACACTATTATAGCATCACGTATTTAAACAGGCAAGATATATCTCGGGATATACATGCCTTATATCTCATAGTAAAAAGCGAGCTTTACGGTGCGGTCGAACTGTAATTTCACTATACTAAATGTGTAGTACGTTACTGATAATGATTAATTATTGCGTAAGTAAAAGAGCAAGTTGAATATCCGCTCTCACACTTTTATTATTTTAACAATTAACGCTATCCCGATGTATTTCGGAGATCAAAATTGGGATCTCTGTTGAATTCCCCGACATATTTATTTATACAAGCCGACTTCCGCGATTCTGCAGAGCAATAGCAATTATTGTAATCCCCCATTTTAATAATGAGTAAAATAGTCCCGCAAATTGCATTCTGCAGTGCCACATTCTTTACTAAATCCTGCTTGCATCTTTCCATTCTGTTTAAGTTGTTGAATACGAAGTATAAAGCTGATTCTTTATGTGCGCTACTTAACCAAAGTAAAAAATTTAAGTTTTATTCTATATCTATGATGTTATATTGTCCGGTCGACAACTCAACGTCGGACTGCAGGTCTTCTTACGTAGTTTTGTTTTACCGCCGAGCAAGTTTTATATCAGCACTTAAAATTGCATTAACAATTTCATTAGTACCGGCGGGAATTAAACCCTGTAAAAGTAATATAACATTTAAAACTAAATTCCAGAAATTATAGGTACACTTATGTAAAAATATGTATGGAGTCTGCTGTTTTATTAATGAACGTTGTAGTTATTGGACAATACCATATTTTTAACCGATTTTATAAACTATTCAAATTAGTTTGTTTATTTATTATGTTTTTCCTATATCTTTCACCATCTAGCATGCGACCTTTTAGCGAGTGGAGTTGTAGCAATATTTGGACCAACAGATCCAAATTCAGCTGCAGCAGTTGAAGCACGCTGTAGAGCTGCTCGAGTTCCACACATACAGGTGATTATTTATTTTTGTATTTAATTTTGTTTTTGTAGTATCTAGTATACAAAATATAAAATAAACGCTTTTTTGCTTTGACGTACACTCCACAGGTTTTTTTAAACAGGAACATTTTAAAAAAAACATAAAATTAAGTTGTAATTATTTGTTGGTAACATTTTTAAATTCTTCGGTGACAATCTCTACTCTGTGCTACTGTTTGGTCACAGACTGTCATGTGTTTGATGTTTTATTTTATTTTATTTATGGTACTTATAACACATGTTATACATTAACTTTAGTGTTCTACGCTCCTTCTGCATTTAATTTGTATTCATATATATATATATATATATATATATATATATATATATAGGTTGACTAAATTGTAAAAACTACAAAGTGGATCACTTATTCACATGGAATCCATAACCCTATTTTGTCCTATGAGTGTCTTAAGAAGGAAATCTATGGGAGAGCGAGACTATGGGGAAGTCCAGGAAAACATCTTGGCTTTCGAAAGATTGCGGCTATACTATCTCGTTTATTTCCTCACGTGCCATGACGCCTGCAGGGGGCTGACAGCTTATGCATTCCCGTCTGTCAGCTCACCCCGTGTGCCCATTTGGCAATTAAACACGCCTTGTCTTTAATCTACGAGTATATTGTTCAAAGATAAAACGCTGTTTTAATCTTTGAATAACATAAATTAAAGACAAGGCTGTAATGTAACGTTTTTAAACGTTTTCGGATTGAATATGTTCGATTCTTTTAACCGATTTTTGATTTGTCGCGTAAAAGGAGGTAGATATTAAAAAGTTCATGGTGTGAAAAAAATGTATTGAAGGGGTGTGATTTTTTAATCTCTTTTGATGTAATATATTGTTATGCAAATAAAACAAATACCTTTTTATATAATGGTTTAATTTCATAAACACAATCATACAAAAACACATTATGTATAAGAAACCGGCAAAATTACGTGGATACATATATATACAAAGATTCGTAATATTATAAAAATGAAATTTATAATATAATTACTTATAAAGTAGAATCAAACATCTTAATTCATAACGAATCAATGCGTATAAGTTTGATACATAGTTGGCATATAAAATTAAAAATATATTATCATTGTTTACATGAGCGCCTACCGGTATCGCGCGACTTCCCGAAAGGCTCTGACACATGACGTGTAAAAATATAATATGGTCGGGCACATGGGGGACATCCTCATCAACCTGCGGCGATCTATTGCGGGGCATAGCCCTCTCTTAAGTTTCTCTCGCTTATCTCGTTTATGCCAGATGTAATATACCCAGAAAGGTAACGGGGAACATCATAAATTAGGTAAATAATGGGTCGGCAATCATCAAGATATTTCAACATGAGACAACAATGCAAGTGTAAATTATAACTGTTGTTTTTGATAGAGCTACGTCATTACCAACGTTATGGTCCATCACAAATACTCAATACAATCCTTAGTCATCTGCATCCATCGATTTTCTGCAATTTATGCTACTTACACACGCCGCTACCTTCATTGGGAGGCGACTGTAGTCTGGGCCCAAAAAACCAATCCGTTGGGAACGGTTCTTGAATGGCGAGTTTAAACAGTTATAAAAAAATGTTGCCTTGCCCAACCAAATATCGTTATCAAATATCATAATTTTTTAAACGTACAATACATTTGATAATAGCTAAGATATTTAATTTCCAACAATAACATAAAAAAATATTTTAGGCTGTTTGGCGACCACCTCATGTACGTGGGCTAAAACGAGTATATCCGCCTGGAATCAACTTATATCCTGAAGCTGTATCGCTCTCAAAGGCTGTGGCATTATACATTAAGGATAGTGATTGGAATAGCTATACACTTTTATACGATGACGATCATGGTAATTTACATTGAACTTGTTTACTATTATTATTAGTGGTAGATAAGTAGTAGCGGCGTTAGAATATCCACTACTCGTATCGTCTTGTAGGTGTCGTAAGTGGCGACAGAGGGAAACAAATCAGGAGATGGGCAGCATCGTCTAACTAATAACCATTGAAAAAGAAATACTGCGGTAGCCAACCTGCCAGTCAAGCGTAGGAACTATGGCACACATCCCCGCTATGAGGAAATCTATGGGAGGAGTTTATGTTCAGCGGTGGACTTTTGGTAGGCTGTAGCGGTAACGGTGGAATTTTTGATAAGTGCTTAAGTATCTTGGAATATGGGTTACATTGAGTCTAATTAGAGCCATTAATTTTTAATGTTTGCAGGATTAATACGGCTTCAAGAAATCCTTAAAGATGCTGATCCGGAACATAAATGGTTAGTCCGTAGATTGACACCTGGTGGAGATAACAGACCTCTGTTAAAAGCTATAAAGTCAACTGGTGCCACCAGAGTTATTATCGACTGCCCCGCGGAAAGAATTCTTGAATATTTACGTCAAGCGAATGAAGTAAATTTTTTTGAAGACTACATGGTAATGATTTGAAACAAGAATATATTATATATCTAATTATCAGTTTTAGAAACCAATACAATAAAAAAATCTTAATTTATAATGTGAATATTGTATAAATTTATCTTTCTAGAGCTACGTTCTTATGTCCCTGGATGCTCACACATTGGATCTTGCAGAATTACGATATGGTCTATCAAACGTAACATGTTTACGTATTTTCGATCACTCTGATTCAAGGACACGGTCTTACTTAGCAGATTGGAAATCAAGAAGTACTTCTGATGTCCAAATACCAAGAACAACACAAGAAATTACAGTAAGTATGATTATTTATCTAGTTTCAAACATTATCTGTATTAAACTTCTTAGTACAACATATTCTAATGCAATTACAATATTTTACATATTCTTAGGTAGAAGCAGCATTAGCAAGTGACGCAGCTAGGCTAATTACAGATGCTATAGAAAGTGCATCAGAAGGATTTACATTAGAATCTCAAGAACTTCAATGCAATTCTGATAGTCAGTGGGAAATTGGCGAAGAATTCTTAAATCACTTACTTACGGTAACAAGTTATTACTTTTAGTCACAAAAACTAACTAGTTGTTTTTTTTTTATTAAGACAACTAGGCATAATGTTTATTGCAACAGATTTAAAACAACAGATTATATCATTATATTTTAGAATCCAATAACTGGTATAACAGATCAAATACTACTAGATAATACAACGGGTGAACGAACTTATTTTAACGTTGAAATAATGGAATTATCCAATAGTGGATTTAACAATATTGCAAAATGGAATCCTGATAACGGTTTTACATATGTACGAACAGCAGTCGAAGTTTCAGATCTATTAGCCGAGAAATGGCAGAACAAAACATTTAGAGTGGTGTCACGTATTGGTGCTCCATATTTAGTTGAAAAAGTTCCGAAAGCTGGTGAAGTATTAAAAGGTAACGACAGATATGAAGGATATTCTAAAGACCTAATACATGAGATATTAACAGAAACAATGCATCTTAATTATGAGATTATCATAGTTCCTGGAAACCTCTATGGTTCTTATCATAAAGATACCAAGAAATGGGATGGCTTAATAGGATACCTTTTAGAAAGGGTTTGTGACTTTTATTTCGTTATATGCAAGTAATCGTCTCTACTCATTTTCATGTACTGCCTTTTATATATTTTTTTATACATTTATTTACAGAAGGCTGATTTAGCTATTTGTGATCTTACAATAACATACGAGCGGAGATCTTCAGTAGACTTCACAACCCCTTTTATGACTTTGGGTATTAGCATACTCTATTCAAAACCCACCCCTCCTCCCCCTGAATTGTTTTCGTTTCTTAAACCCTTTTCTGTGGATGTCTGGGTTTACATGGCAGCAGCGTATTTAATGGTTTCTTTACTGCTTCACATACTTGCTCGGTAAGTTATGATTTTAAATGCACTTGATTTAAGTGGTAATGCCACGTTGCAGCTATACTTACCATGGCTGCAACCGAATGGCTAGGCTCGACCGGGGCCTGACAGAATGCTAGTGTAAAGCAATAGTATGATACTGCTTGATTTCATATAGTTAGTGTAGAGAACCGGATACTCTTTTTCTAACAAGATCTCTATACTGGTACTCTATCTTAGCCCACAGAGATTATTTGATTAGTAATCGATGTTAATCATAGAATTAAGTGCAAATATCTGCTTCCAACTGTCTGTCTGTCTTTTGCTGGATCATATTGCTTGATATTGTGATCTGCATAAGAGCCAGCCATAGCATGTACAATAACTTTTTATCGATTCGAAATAAGGGTTGCAATTACGAATTTACTTTTTACCATTACCGTACATTAGCTTATAAAAAAACAAAAGTGTTTCTTCCATGACTTTATAGTTAAGTATATAATTTAAGTAAATCTATACTAATATAATAAAGCAGAAGAGTTTTTTTTGTTTTCTTGTTTGTTTAAAAAAAATATTATTAAGCAAGACAGAAGAAAAAGCGCTCCCGAAATGATTTATCTGCGTAATGGTTAGTGATACGTAAATACAATAATCTACAAAACATATCTTTACTCCATCTAAAAAAAAGTCCGCATATGCCTATTTCTTATACATAAAGCCATAATAAGGTATTTTGTGAGTAAAAATTATTGGAAATAAAAGTTATTTTGAGCGTTACATGCCATATTAATCCTTACGAACGAAAATTACTTCATTATCAAGGAAAATGTATGAAGATAAACTTTGCTCTTTATAGCATGTTATTTGGACGCATAGTTTAAGAGATAATGAAAAATTAAAATAATTCAACACTCGGCTCCGGCGCGTGAACGACGCGTAAATGTTAGCCGTCCGATGGGAACCGAGAGAAACCAGCAGAGGACGCTTCTATTAGTTCAAGCATTCTAGATAGCAATGTATGGAAAAATCGGCAACTTTTATTTAAATCTAGGCGCCAAGACACTCACCTGGAAGAGGGAGGGAGAGTGGATAAAATTTTACTTTGCTCTATACATAAGCCGATAGATAAAAGTACTCCATTCATTTTGCCAATTTTGTGGCTAAAATGATTGAACTATATGCGTGTGGCACAGCTGGTATTAGACAAAACAGATTTCTTGATTTTAATTAATTAAAATCACGACAGGCAATCGAATAGCGGTAAGTAGCTCGTTTCGCTCGCTCGGCTTTCTGTTAGCTTTTGTAAGCGAGCGAAGCCAGACCGATTTATAACAAAATATAGAGGTACTTCTATTATTTCATTTATTAAAATACTAAATTGATATCAACGCAAAGATAAGAAGGAAATACACAATACCTGCATATATTGCAAGTGAACAAATATCTGGATCCAAATCAATTATTCGTAGTCCATACAAACACTTGTTCAAACTGTCAATTGGAATGAAAAAGATTTATCCTCAAACAAATGTTAAAACATGAGACTTATTTTTTTTTGCAGGCTTGCTCCGAAAGACTGGGAGAATCCTCATCCTTGCGATAAATCTCCTGAAGAGTTGGAAAATATATGGCACATCAAAAACTCATGTTGGCTAACTGTAGGTTCAATAATGACGCAAGGTTCTGATATTCTGCCAAAGTAATTTTTTTAATTTTTTTTTTTTAATTTTCTATACATTTTTTAATAGTAAAGGATAATATCGCCTATAAAGTAAAAAAAAATGTTTTAATTATAATATGGTTCAGATAAAATAAAGCCTTGTAACTTAGTTGATAAGTGCTCGCCATAAAATTAAAAACTAGGTTCGACCACGAAAGCACCAATGAAATATTTAACTGCAATTTTAAGAACTGATTTACACCGTGGTCAAGGTGAAGAAAAAGAAGGAATTATGCATGTTTGAAAAAATAAAAATGTTTACGGCCATAAATCTCGAAGTCGGTTCTTGGCTGATGAGGAAGAAAGGTTCTCGAGTGGCAGCCTCGTACCATAAGCGAAGTCGAGCGCGGCCCCCCAAAAGATGGTGTGAAGACCTAGTAGTATGCAGGAAGTCGATGGATGCAGAAAGCTCATGACCGTGCTTTGTGACATTCGCTGGGGGATCGGGGGGCTTATGTTCAACAGTGGATTTCTAAGCTGATTAGCTGTAATTATGATGATGATTATAATGATATATTTCTCAAACATATTAGAATAGTAAGTTAATGTACCATTGGGGCTACGCAGCGGACTGTTTTGTCCTTTAAGAAATGAGTACGCCTGTGGTCATAAGTGTGTTTTATGTAAACTATAACTTTTTTTCTTTATGATTCAGATATTGCTCCTCTGCATAGATAAATTAAAATAAATGAAAATTTTATGACGAGGCTGCCTCTATTCTTTCCAAGTAGTCAATGCCATATGAATTGAATGTAATTAAATTAAATATAAAAATATGTATATATGTACATCCCCTTCAATCGTTCAATAAACTTATTATTTAATTTTCATTAATTTATAATTGTATATATAGAAGGTAGTATATGCACTTAGGGACTATTCAACAAGATGGGTATGCGGAATGTGGTGGTTCTTCGCACTAATAATGTGCTCATCGTATACTGCGAACTTGGCTGCTTTCCTTACAAATGCCGCTATGGATGACTCTATTAAGGGTGCCGAAGATTTAGCAATGCAGACCAAAATTAAATATGGTACCGTGAATGGTGGATCCACATTTTCATTCTTTAAGGTGCATTTTTAATATTTTTTATGAATTCTCAAACTGTTATTATACGAGTACATATTCTTTCATATCCAAACATTTATAGCGATCAAACGTATCAACGTATCAAAGAATGTGGGGGGCCATGGAATCAGCCCGTCCATCAGTTTTTGTAAAAAACAATGATGAGGGAGTAGAAAGAGTTTTGAAAAGTAAAAGAGATTATGCTTTTCTAATGGAATCTACTGCCATCGAATATCAGTTAGAACGGCATTGTAATTTAATGCAAGTTGGCACTACACTCGATTCCAAGGGTTATGGTATAGCGATGCCATTTTGTACGTATCATTTCGTTTTTAATAAAAATATAAACTTAATAAATTTATTAATATAAAACCTCATTTTAGACTCATCATATCGCACACCTGTTGATAATGCTGTGCTGAAGTTAGCAGAGAGTGGAAAATTGGTTGAACTAAAAAATCGTTGGTGGAAGGTCCCTCCAGAAGAGGGCTGCGTGGTAGGTTAAACTTTATATCATTACAAAAAAAATCCATAATGCTTTTTAGCCGACTTCAAATAAGGAGGAGACTTACAATTCGACTGTATATTTTTTTGTACTTATGTTACGCGATGTCTTCGACAAATGTGAACCAATTTTGATTTTTGCTTTTTTAGGGTTTCGTAGTTAAACAACAAAGAACACTTATAGTTTCGCCATGTCCATGCATCCTACCGTCTGTCCGACCGTATAAATCTGTAATTCAGCACAATTATAAATACTAATCACGCCCACAAAACTGTGAAATAATATCTTTTGTGTACCTCCCATACAAGTAAATGGAGGATATTTTTTTTTTACTAGTCTATTCCATCGTGTAGGTCGTTGGATAGTACTTTGAAAAATACTGGGGGTATGGAACAACATCCTTCCGATTCAGGGGTCCGTTTGCGCAATATTTAGTTTTAAAGTAATATTTTTCAAGTGATGTGTAGAGTTAGATGGTTTGTAAAGTTAATAGTCGAACAACTTATAAAATGCACTTGGATAAGAAAAAAGTCGTTACAACGCCATGGAAAATGACCTAGAACTAGCTGCATTACGAGTATAACTTTTTAATGTTAATGTTAGCTGTAAGAAATAAACTATAGCTTTACTTTTTCCTATGCGGGATAGGAAGAGTAGATCATACGTACTTACTACTTTCGCTTATTTTTTAGTTGGTAGTTATTGTAGGCCTCATTCAAAGTATTCATACATTCATTTAGCCTCATAGAGTTTCATTCGTGGTACTATTGGTTTACGCGGGTGACCCTCAAGATAATTTAGGGCAGTGATGGTTTACGGGAAGGTTCATTAGTCATATATATCTTCGGATTGGGCTGCCGGGAATATATAGATTGTATTATTTTCAAAATCGAAAAGTTTTTTAATCTTTCTGAATACCACTCCCTATAAGTCTGATTGGAAAATAAGTCCTTCAGTTACCATCGTCCTAAGTATTTAGGCCCATTTTTAGTCGTTATAGCAGTCAAATGGCGAACTCACTTAATATGCTTATTATCAAGAAAGGCTCATGTTTTGCGACTGGCAACTACGGAACCCTACCTCTACATCGTGTTTGGTTCTATATCGATAATATTATTGTGATATTCTTTAGACCATTCAAAGGGTTAAAAATTAACAAAATATAAAAGCTTGAAATAACTGAAAATAATAAAACTACTTTTCTTAATTCTTCTACACACTATGTCTATCACAGACTTCAGAATGTAAAATTATTCGTTTTAGTTTTGCCATTTTATCTTTCGTAGTGGACTATGAGAAAGTAAAAATAAAATGAAGAGAATATTAGAACTGCCATCAAGTTTTATTTATTTTTGAAAAAAAAACAATAAATGTCGTTGCGTTTTAACTATTCCAGTCAGAAGAAGCGGCAGAAGAGGGAACTAGTGCAGAAGAGTTGGGAGTAGATAACGTTGGCGGTGTGTTTGTAGTACTAGGAGTAGGATGTGGAATGGCTGCAGCGATGGGAGTTTTTGAATTCTTATGGCATGTCAGAGAGGTTGCCATTGAACAAAAGGTAAGCATATACTCTCTCACTCACACACACACTCTCTCACTCACACACACTCTCTCCTCTCTTAATTATGAAAGAGTCGGTTACAGAGATAAAAAGCGATAATCAGCTATTTAAAGTAATGCCGTTAAAGTTTATATATTATTACTAGCTGTTCCCCGTGACTTCGCACGCGCGTAATTTACGATTAGATTTCATGGATATTAAGTTTTTGCGCGGAACCCTAATACTTTTTCTAAAATAAAAATAGCCTAAGTTACTTCGTATGACATCAGCTATCTGCCAATGAAAGTGCAGCTTTTTTACATACAAAAAGTGAGGGATGTGTGTAGGACGATGTGGCTAACTAGGAGACCGTGCTTTGACTTTGCTCAGACTTTACTTTTGAGCTCAGACAATGTCGGTATTTATAGAGCCAACTGCGAAGTCGTGCTGAGTGCGCGCTCAGCAAAGCCTAAGTTAAGGATATCGACGACTTACGTAAAACTCAAGATATTATTAAAAACCACCGTATTAATTTTAAATTGTTGTTTTAATGTTACTCTAATTAATTAAAACAATAAATAGATAGTTTTAGGCCATCTTCTAGATTAAAATATCATTAATCCATTTTCTATTTACGTAATTTCAATTTTATTTCGAATTTATTTTTTTCTGTATATATGTACCTACTTATCCGTTCTCGTTCCCATACGCTCGTTTTCCATTTCATGTAATAATAATTCATTTATTATATACATATATATATACCAGAGAATTTTTTTGGTGAATTTGGGATTTACATTATGCCTCTGTAGCATTGTTCTACAAAATGAAATCCTTACAGGATAATCTCGAGGAAGAAGACTTTGAACTCGTACATAAAATGGATGCATTTCGGCTCTTTGTAAAATACAATGTGATGTGCTTTTGGGTATTCTCGTTCTTTCTTCAATTCCACGAACGGAAATACTTGGATCATCTGTGACCTCTTGCAACACTTTTTCCTCGTAAGGAAAGCGAGCTCTACCTCCAGCCCAGATTTGATTCGGGAAATGGCCGCCCTCCGTGAGTGAACGATGCACATTAACAAACACGCGGTTATCCGGATAACGCTCTAAATTTGGATATCCTTCACGATAAAGTCTAGCGGTGGCACTTACGTTGCATCTGCATTCCCCATAAATGAGGTGCATGTTCGAATATTCTTGTGAAGTGCAGCGCATAGGCATGGTAGATAACAAGGATGCCAACACAAAAGTCCAATTCCAAAAGAGAGAAAAAAGTTGCCGGTGTGTAATCAACAAGTCCAATTCACAAAAATCCAAGTCCAAAAAGAGAAGTCAAAGTTGTCAGTACTAAATCAACACAAGCGAATACGGAAAGGTGCGCAGTAGACGAATGAGCGAAACGTACTAACTGGTGTCAGACGCATCTCCGTCTCACTGCGTGGCGTCACTATCTGTCTCAGTCGCTCATGGCAAACATGTCCACTATCCATCTCTCTCATCATTTTGCCGTAAAATTAAGAACATACCAAGAGCTTGTGCGAATAAAAAACATTTGAACTGAGTAAAATGGGTTAGCAAAAAACGGGTTACTCGAGGTTTTTATTTTTTTACTTTCAAAGTCGACAAATTTTGAAAATTTTAGATTCATAATTTAACAAATAGTCTTAATTCTAGAAAACTTGGGGCAGTTGTGTCATTATTTTTGGCTGTAGTTCTAAAAATTTTATTTAAGGTTACGGTTCCAAAGTTTAAATAAACAAAAATAATAAAAACTAACCACAATAACAGAAAAATGGTTAGTTTGACCAAATTTCTAGGTTTATCTTAAATGCCCATAATTGAGTTCTGCCAGCTCAAGCCGGGGTGGTACCACGACCTCACAGAATACCAGCGTGAAGAAGAGGTTTACCTCTGCGTTGCGCTTGGTGAGTGCAGGTGGCCGGAGGCCCAACTTCCCCCCCCCCCCCCCCCATCAACATGGTAGTAAAATTAAATAAGAGACTACCCCAGGAGGGTACCAGCACCCCTGGAGAATCCCTCGCTGAGCATCCACGACCAAACTACTTCACTCCTGAGCATGGGTGCTCAGGCTGCCCCGCGTATTCTGTGGGAGGGGGGGGGGGGCAAAATTCCGCTCGCGACTAATGCTGCTCGGGGCAAGAGGAGCAATGCAACCAAGGCGACCCCTGTTACGCAATCCGTGAATTTTTGCAACATCAGGGGACTTCATTCCAACCTTAACGCTGTCCATTACCATCTATAGACGGCGAAGCCGGCCTTGCTCTTTTTTACCGAGACTCAGGTGTCCTCTCCGGCTGATACTTCATATCTCTCCTACCCGGGGTAAAAAATTGGAACACTCCTTTGTGCCCCGGGCTGGAGTTTGCGTATACGTCAGAGAGGACATCTGTTTTCGACGCCTCGGCAGTCTTGAAGGTACGGACCTGTCCATCCTATGGCTGCGCGTAGACAGCGACGACCATCCCCGCCTCTATAGGTCCCATAGCGGTAATGCCGACACAGACCGACTCATCGACCACGTCCAAATGGCTGCAGACTCCGTGCTACAACAGGTCCCATCCGCAGAGATCGTAATACTCGGTGATTTTAACGCCACCACGCTGAATGGCTTGGTTCTCGTTTAACCGATCATGCGGGTAGATCTGTCTATGACTTTGCTTTGGCATATGGTCTAACACAACTGGTTACTTCGCCTACGCGGATCCCAGATGTGGAAGACCATGTACCTTCCCTGTTGGACCTTCTGCTGACCTCTCATCCGGACGGATATCAGGTCTCCGTCGATGCCCCTCTGGGCTCTTCGGACCATTGTCTGATCCGGAGTACGGTGTCACTCACGCTCCAATCGCAGTCGTGATCTGCAGCTTGCCGCCGTGTTTGGCACTATAGGTCAGCTGATTGGGACGGGATGCGGTCTTTTTTTGCATCCTACCCTTGGGGGCGGGTTTGCTTCTCGCCGGAAGGTCCCAGCGTTGTTGCCGATTCTGTTGATGATGTGGTACTTCAGGGTATGGAACTTTTTATTCCATCCTCTGTGGTGCCCATCGGAGGCAGATCCCAGCCATGGTTTGGTCGCTTCTGTAAAATAGCATCACGCTATAAGCAGGAGTGCTACCGGGCCTGGGCTGACGCATCAACGTCTCGGTATGTAAACACCAGCGCACTTAAAAAGAAGTATAATTCCGCCTGCAGGTCCTTTAAAAGCGTCATTGCCAAGGCAAGGTCTGAGCACATCGGCAGAATTGGCGAGAAGCTAGTTCGCCTTTCTTTCAGGAACCCGTGCATTCTGGTCTCTCGCCAAGGCTGTCCAAGGGAACTTCTGTCAGCCATCACTTCCATCTCTGCACAGGGAGGACGACTCACTGGCCAATTCCGCAAAGGAGAAAGCCGATCTGTTGAGCTCTCTTTTTGCGTCCAACTCGACTCTAGATGACGGGGGGAACACACCGCCGACCATCCCGCGATGTGAGTGCTCCATGCCGGATGTGCGGCTTACACAGCGCTCGGTTCGCAAAGCACTCTTCTCCCTGGACGTCAGCAAGTCGAGTGGGCCCGATGGAGTCCCTCCCGTTGTGCTGAAGACGTGTGCTCCGGAGTTGGCACTGGTTTTAACGCATCTTTTCCGGTACTCCTACTCCCAAGGCGTAGTCCCGAATTCATGGAAGACAGCTTTGGTCCACCCGATCCCTAAAAAAGGCGACCGCTCAGACCCGTCCAACTACAGGCCTATTGCCATCACCTCCTTGTTCTCAAAAATAATGGAATCCATTATAAACTGCCAGCTCATGAGGTACCTTGAGGATCACCAGCTGATTAGTGACCGCTAGTACGGTTTTCGTCGAGATCGACCAGCTGGTGATCTTCTAGTCTATCTGACTCATAGATGGGCGGAGGCAGTAGAGTCCGAGGGGGAGGCATTGGCCGTTAGTTTGGACATAGCGAAAGCCTTCGATCGAGTCTGGCACAAAGCGCTTCTTTCGAAGCTTCCTTCCTATGGGCTTCCCGAGAAATTGTGCAAATGGATCACCAGTTTCCTTGCTGATCGGAGTATCAAGGTCGTAGTAGACGGTGCATGCTCTGATTTCAAGCCTATTAACGCTGGTGTTCCACAAGGCTGCGTGCTATCACCAACGCCGTTTCTCCTGCATATCAATGATATGTTGCTAACTGGTAGCATTCATTGCTATGCGGACGACAGCACTGGTGATGCCTTATATACCGGCCGTGCCAATATTTCTCGGGAAAACGTCGCTGAGTACCGGGACAAACTTGTGTCTGAAGTCGAGTATTTGCTTAACAAAGTCTCGGATTGGGGCCGACTAAATCTAGTCCAGTTCAATCCCCAGAAGACACAAGTTTGTGCGTTTACCGCTAAAAAGAACCCCTTTGTCGTATCTCCTCAGTTTCAAGGCACTCCCCTTGCTGTCTCAGCTAGTCGGAATCCTTGGCGTCGACATATCGAATAGTGTGCAGTTTCGTGGTCACTTGGAAGGGAAAGCCAAATTGGCCTCTAAAAAGCTTGGCGTGCTCAGCAGAGCGAGACAGTATTTCATGCCGGCACATCGCTTGCAACTTTACAAAGCGCAAGTTCGGCCCCACATGGAATACTGTTCTCATCTCTGGGCCGGGGCACCCCAGTGCCAGCTCCTTCCACTTGACCGCATCCAGCGCAGAGCGGTTCGAATCGTCGAAGACCGAGTTCTTTCTGATCGGCTTGATACACTTTGCGTATTTTATCGCATCTATCACGGGGAGTGCTCTGAGGAATTGTTGGGACTAATTCCAGCCGCTCAATTTCACCATCGCACATCGCTACAAAACTTGCGTTACCATCCATACCATCTGTATGATTGGCGGTCCAGCACTGTGCGATTTAGAAGAAGTTTTCTCCCTCGCACAACTTCCTTGTGGAATCAATTACCACCAGCGAATTTTCCGGACCGATACGACTTAGGAACCTTCAAGAAAAGAGCTTACACCTTTCTAAAAGGCCGGCAACGCATCTGCAATTCCCCTGGTGTTGCAGTTGTTCATAGGTGGCGGTAGTCACTTACCATCAGGTGAGCCGCATGCTCGTTTGCCCCCTCTTTATAGAAGAGGGCCCCCTCTTCTATAAAAAAAATGAGTGTCAATTTGTAATCCAAGGTAATTTTCATGAGTTTTCAGTTTTAAGGGAATATTGTTAATTGTAAGCGGATAGTGGGGGGAATGAATTTATTTTTGGCCCTAAATAAAATGTAACAAGTTTTTGAAATGTTTATGGTTAATAAGTTATATTGAAACCAATCATATAGGGTGTTTAAATCGTCTTGAGCTTGCGACATTTTGTCGTGTATTGATGAACCAAAGTAAAATAGGCAGGTATCATCGGCGTAAAGGCTAATATGGCCATTTAAACCTAAGTCGTGTATGATGTTAATATAGGTCAAAAAGAGCAACGGGCCTAAAATTGATCCTTGAGGAATTCCACAAGTTATTGGTAATGAATTACTTTGAATGTTGCATATTTTGACTACTTGTGATCTATTTTCCAGGTATGATTAAACATGTTCAAAACTTTGATGGTAATACCGATTCTCTCTAACTTTTTAATAAGCAATTTATGACTGACCGTATCGAACGCCTTTTTCAGATCTATGAATATACCTAGGACTATATTTTTTTGATATATTTTATATTTTATTTTAGTGATAAGATCAATAGTTGCAGTAAGCCTAAAACCATATTGTCGTTCAGATATAAAGTTAATAGAGTTCAGATAATTTTGTAATCTTGTGTGTAAAACCTTTTCAAGAACTTTTGATAAAACTGGCAACACCGAGATAGGTCGGTAATTGCCTGGATCAGTTTTTGGTCCTGATTTGTAGATAGGAGAGACTTTAGCTACTTTTAGTGTATCTGGGAAAACACCATCACGAAGTAATTTACTAAAGCATTCCGTTATTTTCTTTATTATCAGATTTTATATATTTTATAATTTTGGTACTAATTCCGTCTAAACCGATGGTGCAATTGGGGTCAAGATTGTCAATAATATTTAAAATTTCTTGTTTAGTATATGGTTTGAATTCCGACATTTGTGAGTTTTATTCGGTAGATTTTGGCAAGGCCTGAATGTAATTATCATGAAATTTTATAGGAATTTTATTTGCTAAATGTGTACCTATTGTTGAGAAAGATTCGTTAAAGACTTGACAAATATGGTGAGAGTCTGTTATTTCTCTTGAGTCTACTACAAGCTTTGAAGGAGTGCAGCTTTGTTTGATGTTATTTGTTGACAAATTGTTTAGTATGTTCCACATTTTCCTGGCATTGTTACTATATTTGGCAAATTCTTTGTGGTAGTATGATTCCTTCGTGACTTGAATTAGTTTTACAACTTGGTTTCTTTTTGACAGAAATTTTTCCTTTAAAGCATTATCATCTCGAGTTTTCTTGAGCTCGGCCCATAAAATGTTTCTTCTGTTTATTTCAGTTATTACATTTTTATTTATCCAGTCCTTTTACGGCTGGTTAAAGATTTTAGTTTTTACTACTTTACTGTCCTCTGCGCTTACCTTTACCTTTTAAAATGTTCCTCTAATCTTGTGTAGTCCATATTATATACATTTTTGTTGTGTTATTATGTGTTTTGACTAAGTGGAACAGTTTTTCATAATCTGTAGCTACATACCGGGAATATATTTTCGGTGGAGGGTGCACTTTTTTAATTTCTAAATATATCTGCTTGTGGTCTGATAGTGCGGAGATAACTGTAATCATATAAAAACAATCATCTTTCAGGTTGGTGCTTACATGGTCCAAGATTGATTTTCTTGGTGTCCCTTCTCTCGTGCAGTATTTCTTTTTAATTTTGTTGAGGGTTGTATAACCTGATTCCTCTAGGAGTTGAGTGTACTGCTGGCCTTTTTGTCTTTTGTTAATAGATCAATGTTAAAATTTCCAAAGACGATTGCTCTATTTCTACTTTTCAGCTGAGATTCGTATGTTTCGAGAAATTTTTTAAAATCTGTGTGCCCTGGATTGTATACAACACCCGCTTCTATTGCGTATCTTTCTAGTTTTATCCATAAATAGTTATTTTCAGCTATGTATTTAGGCTCCGATAGGGTATTAATTAAGCTATTGTGGACGTAAGCTGAAACTCCTCCACCACCAGAATCGGTCCTGTAGTTGTAGTAATGTGTACAATTAGGGAGTTGAAATTGCAGAGTTTGAGTTTCTGTGAGGAACCATGCTTCCGTTAACAAAATAACATGAAGGGTGTTTGGTATTGCTTTTAAGATACATTTGAGCTCGTCAAATTTACCTTTCTTGCAAATACTGCGAGCATTCAGGTAAAGAAATGTAAACCGTGTTTTATTTACTGGAAAATTTTGGTAGCTATCTAGTGTTTCGTAAGTATTACCTTTTGCAGTGGCATGAATGCTTTCTAATTTTCTTAGTTTTTTGAAGTCGTTTTAATTATTGTCGGTGTTCCGTTGCTGTATTTAATAGTAAGACTATTCTCACCGTCATTTTCTCGACGTTTCAATTCTTCTTTAAGATATTTGAGGTAGGTCTGTTGGGCTGGAGTCTGATCGGAGTATATCTTGATGCCAGCTGGTAGCTTACTCTTGTTGCGGAGTAGTTGTTTGGCAGGAGCCGGTACATCAAAGCATAATTTAATACTGCGATTTTTGCTGGATTATACTTCCCGATTCTAAAAACTTTTACTGGCTGAATTTTCACACCTAGTGCGGAGACGATATTAAGTACGTCAATCTGATCTTTAGCTATTAATAAACACAATACTATATTTAAGCCTAATAATCATAAAATCAACACCGTTATCCACATATTACTAATGGGGCATTGTACTAAGCAATTAAAATTAAAAATTTAATGTTCTATTAAAACGACCCGTTCACTAGTAAATACATACAAAAACAAACTAACATATATACGTGCGCATGCATATACACATACATAGTTAATACCACGGAGCAGGTACAAAGTGCACTGTGATTCCAACTATGTCCAGACGTCATCACAGTGGGTGTGGCTTTAGTTGGTATACTGCAGGGTGATGCAACTCTGTATGAAAACCGAGAAACTTGCACACAATCATATTTTATCTATCTGTGGATTGAGCGTATAAAATTAAAGCGAGAAAAAAAGAAGAAAAAAAGTGACATTTGTTGTAATGCCCATTATTGATTATGCAGAGATGTGTGCTACCCACACTTAAACCAAAATCTTCTTAACATGCTAGAGCTTCTTCTCAATAATTGTATTAGATATATATTTGGTCTCATAAATATGATCACATCTCTCATTAACGTGAACGCCTGAAATGGCTCACTATCCGACAAAGACGAAACTCTAGAATTCTGCTTGTTCTTTTCTCAATTTTGAATAATCCAACTTCTGTAACATGTCTCAAGGACAAATTCCAATTTCTCTTTTCAACTCATGATAATGTTCTTCGCTCCTCGACTAATCATAAGTTCAGTACTCCATCTCATTTCACTGGATTTACCAACAATTCCTTTACTATTCAGGCAACATTACTTTGAAACTCCTTGCCCGAAAACATAAGAAGAGCGCCGAGTAAGGTCTGTTTTGAGTTGGTACATGACTTTTTTTAAATGAAGAGATGTTGGATGTTAAGAATGATGATGATATATTTTGATACATTTAGATGTTTTATTATTTGACAGGTTAAATATTATTATATGTAACGTATATATTATATATATTTTGTTCATATATTTACATCACTATATGTAAATTTTATGTATGTATGTATGCATGTATATTATATATATATATATATATATATATATATATATATGTATGTGTGTGTGTGTATGTATTTGCATCTGCCCCAAAATCTCATCACTCCACGGGTTGACTGGCAGAGAATGCCGTTAGGCATTAAGTCCGCCTTTAGTTACCTTTGTTACTAAGGTGTTAACAAACAAGATTAAATAAAAAAATAAAATAAAAAGTCGGAAAATCATACAAATCCTAACTATTTAATAGATTTTCTAATAAAATAGTATAAAATTAATAACAAAGTAAAAGTAATAAAAATAAGGCACCAAATTCTATATAAGACAGTATTTGAACATCTCCCACCTCATTTCTTCCCGTGAGTTTCGTAAGGACGACTACGGGAAATGCGAGATAAATTTTATAGCTACCGACAGAAGGCGGTATAACCATCTCATCATTAACGCAAAATACATAGACCATATCTGTGACGGGGAGAATCCAAGTGGCATCTGCCAAGCGTGGTGATTCAGGCAAATCCACCCGGAAGATGCCGGGAAGGAGGTTAACCATTTCTTATTTACTTTAAAAATTATATTGAGTAAAATACCTAAAATCAATTTTATCCAAAAGGAATAATGTTTAATTTAAAGTAAATGTTTTTTTTATGTTTCAGTTTGTTTTTAGTTTGCTTTACCTTGGTTTGTATTTTACTTCGATATTATTTTCAGATGACGCAAACTGAGGCTTTTTGGGCGGAGCTCGCATTTGTTTTAAGTTTCTGGAAAACAGAGAAACCAGTAGTTCATTCACGACCATCCTCTGCTACGTCGGGGTCAATCGCTTCGCGGGCATCTTCAGTTCTTCGATCAGCAGTAGATTTATTTCATCTTGATGTTTTTAAATAATGTAGTTTATAACGTAACAAGAAGTTGTAATCAATTTATTTTATAGGTAATATAAAAATTCAATATACCTAATAATTTCTAATTTTGACGCGTACACTACACATTGAATAAAACTACTATTGCGGATTTCATCGAGTTAATATATAACTTATTTTGAACTCTCGTAGTTTCGTTTCACCCAAAACGCGGTTAGCCCCTGAGCTACCATGGCTCATAGCTACTACGGTTCATAAAATCGGTTCATGGTTTAAAAGGTTTTATTTATTTATTGAATACATATATAATAAATGAGAACCACTCCAAAGCCTCGGATGAGATCATATAAGGGGAAAGAATCGATACGAGTAGAAGGATGTTGTGACTGATGTTATTTTTTCTTTAGTTTCCTTCATGCCAGCTCTAGTGTCACCAGTGACTTTGAGGACCGCGGAAACAGTATTATGACCTAGCCTGAAGCTAGACTGTAAGAGGCTAATAAAGTTATTTAAGAAGATAAACTGTGATAGCTGTTTATGTACACAGGACTGTAGTAACTTGGATAAGAAGGGAAGAATGGATTCAGGATGGAAGTGATTGGATAAAGAAGGATTAGAAATCTTGGGTAGAGGAATAAATAAGGTTTTACGTCATAGAGACGGGAAAACTCCAGAATCCAGTCAGAAGTTAATTATGTATATAGGAAATAGCAGGGAGGATATGGCCTAGAATATAAATAATCATATGGCCACTGATATTATCATAATCTATAGCATTAGATTTGATGGAGATTATTAACTTCCTGATCTCATTCGTTGCAATTGGAGAGAAGTGAAAAGAAGCAATATTTGGAAGAGGTAAAACCATTAAATGATTAACAGTTTGACACTTCATTTGGTGATCCAAAGGTTTCTCTGACGAGAAATGACGTTTGATATCATCCAAACGAATCGTCCCCTGAAACTCAAAATGGGACTTTTTGCCAATACCCATAGTTCCAAGGAACTTCCAAATATCACCGCGGGAAAAGTATATGATGTTGCTAAGAATATATAAGCGTTTTGCGTTGCGTATCATATGTTTACACAGATTTCTTGCAGTTTTAAACAAGAACCAATTTTCCTCACACTGCGCTTCTATATCTTCTTCGGTCTCTACGCCTCATTACAGTGCGAACTTTTGTCGCCATCCAAGATGCGGACAGCCACTTCAGCTTTACTTTATTGATAGGAGCGTGTACATAATAAAGATCTATCAATACGTTATTAAATGCGATTACATTTTCGATCACTGTAGGAGCGTCCATCATAACGTCCCAGTAGATTTTAAAGGCTTCCTGACGCAACATCTCTACATCCATGCGACCAAAACAACACAAGTGTAGGTGTTGGCGACGCGAGATAATGTTTCCAAAAAATAATTAATTCGTTACTTAAGATAGAATATCCAAATTATATTAATAAAGAAATACTAATATTTTCTGAGAGATAAAGATATTATGTTAAACTAAATAATGAGTAATGCGTTATATAGCAATCGTCTACGTAATACGAATAAAGAATTAAATGTTTAATTATTTGCATAAAAGTTCGGACTCGAACGTCTTACGCTGGGGCCACGCCCACCTCGTTGTTCCTGAACCCAGCGTGGTATGGTATTGATCTGTGAATAGGTCGATAATTGGTTGACCTCTAATGCAAGGTGTGAGACGAAGGCGCTTTTCCCTTACAGTAGGACTTTATGTGAGTGTTCGCGCCAAACGCTGATTTGTTGTATCGACGTCAGAGGGCGCGCGGCTCGGTGCCATACCGATTTGACTGTCGGTCGTGCGGTAGAACGCGCAAGCGCACCAGTAGTCTGCCAGCTGTGCTAACGCCTGCACGCTGTCAATTTTGATCGGGAACTCGGAATAATTAGCCGCGGCTATTAAATATACTGTCTAGGCTTTGTAGCGCGTATTCCTTGCTGGAGAGCTTCCCCGGGACTCGTTGGGTCTGACTCGGAACCTGTATGGGTGCATTCGACAATAATAGCTAAAGCGGCCTTTGATAGTCTAGAAATAACTGTTGCTACGCGAAGCGGTAGTGACCTTTGATCCGGACACTCCCTGTTCATTTTGTGTGTTAGGCTTTATAACAAACGAGAGTTAGTGGCTTCTGTAAGTTAGTTAATAGTACGATGGAGTTAATGGACTGTCATCGTGATGAACGAAGAAAGTGACTGTGGACGGCACCGCGGAAGGTCACCTCATTTTGGAGCAGCCTGGAACTCGGCCGCTGCTGGTCGCCTATGCTTGCCAAGGCCCCACACATTCACACCTCACTGTACACTACTCGCCATCCACTATTACACACACTCACGGCCTGCCCAAGCCTTGGTGCGAAGTTAGCTTTGGATATAGGTAAGTAAGCTACGTCTAAAATTCTCCCTGTTGAATGGCCGTAGTATAGAACGCTCCCCCATATAGTTTAGTGTAACTAGAGATTTTCCACTTTGGCCTTAGGAGGCCCGACCTACGTCTGCTCGTCGAAACTCAGCTGAATGGGCCCCTGAGGATTTGACCTTTAGGGGAGCAACCGTAGGCCGTAACAGTGAGGGTTCGGGAGGTTTGAAGATATATGACAAGAAAATAAGGTACATGATGGGAGAATATTGATCATGATGCATAATATTAACCATAAGAAGAGACAAGGGTGGGCTTTGGCTTACATATTATAAATAAAAAGTGCCACTGCCACTTAGTTATTGTTGCTTTATAAAATGTCAAATAGCAATAATGATTATGGCGGCAACGAGACAGGCCAGAAATCGATTTTGTTAATTTATAAATTATTCCCGCATCCCTTACCAAATACTGTTCTATGTAACATTTTATTTCGTAACTATTGTGTTATGTGTTAACAAGTGACTTGCGAGTCGATATCGAAAAAGTGTACGTTAAAATGTTACTCGTAGCGTTTAATGCAAAATGTATGCTGTTAAAATGTATGACATACTGAACTAAAAGGGGTAGATTTGGGGTTACAATTTTTTGTAAAACAAAACTGTTTTTGGAAACGTTTTGGTTTTCGGTTTTTCGTGGACAGTTTCCGAAAAAGGAGCTAAGTTCTGTAAAACCCGTTGAAGAAGAATACAAAAACTCTCTGATCACACTCTCAATCTCATTGCTCTTAGGCGGGAAATGAAGCTGCAGTCTTCCGCAGTTTTATACGTGGTAGAGCCCTGCTGCATCTGTATTATAGTTGTAGCACGAATGGGTCGGCTCGAACGGGGAAAGACCACGCTCTCACAGAATACCAGCGTAAAATAGCAGCTTAACGCTGCTGTGTTTCGTATGGTGAGTGTAGAGAACCGGAGACCCTTTTTACTGGAAACGAGGCATTCCATCTTAGTCCTCACGGGTGACAACGCATCTGCATTTTGACTCTTAATCGAAGATAGATGTAGATGTCTATGGGCTACAGCGACCACTTACCATCAGGTGGACTGTGTGCTCGTTTCTCACCCTTATCCTATAAAAAAAATTGACAGCATACAGGCAACTGAACAGACAGATCTTCAAATTCATGCGACGGGACTTACACAACTTCAATACAGCTCGTATTGAAAAAGTGATCGTGCGAAACCTTGGCTCTAAAATCTCTGCCAGAGATCTCTCTGCCAGAAAGAGCCAACTGTCAAAGCTGAACACCAAGTGTGGCAGCAACGTTTTCGGGACACCTGAGACTTTGAGTGAGATTGAGAGGTTCTATGGGCAGCTGTACACGTCAGCGTTGGAACCACATGCAAGTGTGAGTAACGATCCAAGAGCAAGACTTATCCGACACCATTCTGATGATATATCGGACGTCAGTCTGAACGAGATTAGAATGACTCTCCAGCACCTTAAAAACGTCAAGGCCCCGGGTGAGGATGGAATTACAGCGGAGCTTCTGAAAGCGGGTGGAAAACCGGTACTTGAAGTCCTTCAGAAGCTCTTTAATTCCATCCTCGTCCCCTCATCTCCGACCACGCCGCAGGCGTGGAGTAGAAGTGCGGTGGTCTTGTTTTTCCAGAAAGGCGACAACGCTCTCTTGAAGACCTACAGACCCATATCCCTTCTGAGTCGCGTCTACGTGCTGTTTTCGAGAGTCCTTACGAATCTTCTTGCACGCAGCCTTGACGGCTACCAGTCTCCCGAACATACTGGTTTCCGAAAAGGCTTTAGTACTATGATATCACTTACATACGCTTCGGCAAATTGTACAGAAGACCGAAGAGTACAATCTGCCACTTTGGCTTGCGTATCTGGACTGTGGAGAAAGCTTTTGATTCCTTCGAAATTTGGGCGGTGCAGTCTGCTGCAGTCCCTTCAGCGGTGCCAAGTTGACTATAGGTATATCCAAGGGTTTAAGTGTTTGTACTACTGTACTGTGTAACCCTACTGGGCTACGCTGGCTATCCTAGTATAGTACTAAACCCATCCAACTGCAGAGAGTTGACATTATATCCCCGGAACTTTTCACCGCTGCATTTGAAGACGTTTTCAAGATACTGGACTAGAAAGGATACGGTATTAACAACAATGACGAGTACATTACCCATCTTTGATTTGCCGACGATATAGTCATTTTTTTAGTTTATGCGTACTTCGCGCGTCGACCTGAGTGTTCAATTTCTTTTAATTTTTCAATATATCTTAAACTATGCGTCTAAATAATATACTATGAAGAGCAAAGTATATCTTTTTAAAATTGTCTTGATGATGAAGTAACTTTTGTAATATGCCATATCTAATAATAATGGTCAAAATCACTTTATAATATTCAATATTTTTTTGTCACAAAAGATCTTAATGAAAAAAAAGATGTATATTTTTGTTGAACATAGTAGTTACGTATTACTTAACATTACGCCAGCGCAGGCGTATAAAGCGGTTTGAAAGCGCTTTTTTCTCTGACTTGCTTAACAAAAATCAATACTTCAGGCTAGCCAGGAGGTGTAGGTTTTAAATCATAACGATGCTGTTTAAGCCAAACAATTAACATTTGAAATTTGCATTCAACACTCGTGTCCGCCCGTTAAACTTTGTAAAGGTCACCGTTGCCCCACTCC